CTGCACTATTTAACTGCTACATTCATCCCCCTTCTTCCCCCCGCCCCCCAGCCTGTCTCACCCATTGACTCCTCAATTTACATCTTCATTGATTGCCTGTCTTGCATGCGTACCAGCCTCGCCTCTGGCTTCTTTACTATTCATTCCATCCAGGAAGAGCACACACCAACTGCAGAGAATTCCTCAGCCTGACAAATGGTTTTTAAACCCGAAAGCTTGCTATAAAACGTTTTCCAATTATTTAAGCTGGTCTAATACAAGATACCAGATTCACCCAAAGAACCTTGTCTGCTTATGTCCTTAGACTAACACGGCTACAACCTACACGCCTGTAAACTAAGGTATGTTCTTGAGAAGACACAGAGTTTACTTCAAGAACCCTGAAGTATTGCACACTTGCCCTAATACCCAGTAATGTCCTGTTTTGTTTAAAGTACATCTCATAGTAGGGAATATGAAATAAAAAAAACCACGAGTTTACCAAAGGTGGTTTCTTCCAAGCTAAATTTAATCTTTCTTTAAATGAAGTAAGTGATATTTTTCTAGATGGGGAAAATGTAGCTCTCCTGCATCTGGACTTCAGTAAACCATTGGATATGTTGTCATATAGGAGATTTAATTATTAAATTTAAGAAGTGTGTGTTAGAAGAACTGTAAGGTAAGTAAGGAACTGGTTGAAGGGTAGATGGCGATTAGTAATGTTGAAAGAAATAGTATAGAGCTGGAGTAAAGTTCTCCAGGTATTTAGTCCATGGGCCAATCTTGAATATGTTCATTAATGATGCTGGTACAGAACGTAGCAGCGTGCTGATGCAATATTGTTAGGAGGCATTGAAAGGATGGGCTATACTACAGAAGAGGAGTGGGATACCATACTAAAATAAGCTTGTCTGTAGTAATAAAAATGGGATGAAATTAAGAATACAAAATGCAAGGCAGTGAATTTATGGACCAATAACATTTTGCTGTAAGATGAGAAGTTGTTCGGTTAAAAATAACTGAGGAGAAGGATCTGCGTTGACTAGAGATCATAAGATGATTATTAGTTACCAGTTTGATGCATCTAGGAAAAAGGCAATGCAACCCGAGGATGGGTCAGGAGAGGTGTTGTAAAGATAAAAATGTATTGAAGTCATTATAGAAGATGTAGTGGTTTTTCTGGAAAACTGTACACTTTTCAAGCGTTCCGTATTTAAGAAAAATAAATAGAAATTGGAACAGGTGTAGAGGGGGCTCCTAGGATCATCAGGGAAATGGAGAGCTGCTTTTAGGAGATTAGAAAAGTTTGGCTGCTTTAACCTAGCAAAATTATGGTTGTAAGGGTATGATTGCTCTTTACAAATGTAGTAGGGAGGTAAACACCAGGGTAGGAGTAGAGATATTAAAGTTAATGGATAGTGTTATGAAAACAAATGTGTGTAAAGGGGACATTTATTAAATGTATGCAGAAAATTAAGAAGTTCTGAACACTTACACCGATCAAGTTCTGGAACATTCTTCCAATCAGAGTAGTTAAAATCTAATTGTTTTTAGGATGCAGCTCAGTACATTTGTGAAAGAAATTATATGATGGGGTACCAGACAGGATCCAAGGAATCCTGTCTGGTACCCCAGACAGGATTCCAGACAGGTCTCATATAACTGCATGGGACCTATTCCTAAAGGTTTGTTTAATGCTTCTTTAAATGAAGGAATTGTTTAATTCCACACATCTAATGATACTGTGGGCAGAAGAACTTGTGTTTGAACTGGAGTCTACAGAGCCGATATTCTGAAGAGGTTTCCTTTGGGCTTTGGACAGTGATCCAAAATAACATCCTTCCAGGCATTTACTTAAAAGGGGAGAAATCTGTTTCTTTATTCCTATCTACTTTACGTTCCATGCTTATTATTTTCCATGAGTCAGAATTTTGGGGAGAAGTTGGGAAAGTTTCTTACCTAATTTTCATTCTGCCAGCAGCATCTTCCACAATTCTAGTAACCCTGCTTTGGCTTTATTAGCCAAGGAGCAGCATTCAGTTTCTTTTTACAGTTTGTGGGCCAGTTAATCTACTGTGCACAGTTCACAGGTTGCCATTGATTATTTTTTGTAATTTTTCATTCTAAAAGTTTTTTACACAGCATTGAAATTACTCTTCTCGGGAGGGAGTGGGTTAAAAATAGGAACATCCCCAGCATCACATATGCTGCAATGCTAAACAACCTCTGGAACTGCAGAGGGAAGGGGGATTGCCTCCTGCTTTGCAGAACTATGGGGAGATGCTGCTAACAGCAGAATAATGTGAATTGTCTGTGACCAGACATTTCAGTCGTAGTAAATAATTGTGAGTATGCACATTGAAATCCCTAGGGATGGTGCATTGGATTTGTTTTGAGAAATAGATTTATAATCTCGGCTCTTTATCTTTTTTTTTTTAAGGGAGAGAACATATTTACTAATTCAAGTATTTAATTTTTACATGGTCTCTTTAGGCATATTAATAGTTCCATAATCCCATTAAAGTTTCTGTTGCCTAATCCTCCAAATCAGTGGGTGCATCTACACATGCATTTACTTCAGCCTAGATTTATTTTGCAGTAAAATACTGCAGAGTAAGGGTTTTCAGGTTGGTGTCTACAAGTGGCGGGGATTAGGGAGAAAATTTGCTCCCAGTTCCTGCAGCCCTGCAATGGGCCCCTGCTGCCACTGGGGGCAGCTCCAGGTCCCCCCTGAGGGCTAGCCCAGGAGCTGGCAGAGAACACCAGCCAGGAGCCAGCCTTCTGCTAGCTGTCCCACTGGCAGATTGTGGCAGGGGGCTAGAACCTACCCCACCCCTGCAGCTCTTTCCAGGCCCTGTGCCTTGATCACCCGATTGGGGCACGGGGCTGGGACCTGCCCCTGACTGGAACAGTTCCCGGCCAGCCCCAGGCTGCACAGGGAAGTGTGCATGTGCAGCCCAGAGCTGGCTGGGACCTGCCTCAAACAAGACAGTCCCCAGCCACCTCCAGGCTGCAAGTTCTTCCCTGTGTAGCCTGAGAACTGTCTCAGTCAGGGGCAGGTTGCAGCTAGCTCCAGGCTGGATGGGGACCTGTCCCCATACAGGGAGCTCCCAGCCCCTGCTCTGCAGTCGCAATTGCAATCGCAGAGTACCAGCTGGGAACAAACTCGGCAGCTCTGCAATTGCAGGGTGGGGCCTGGGAACAAGCTCCCAGCTCCCCCTCTGCAATAAGGGTCTTCCAGCCCAAGCCCTGTGACTGCGGAGCTCAGGCTGGGAGATGAGTCTCCCAGCTCCCCACTCCCCAATCGCAGTGGCAAAGTGGGGGCTGGGAAATAAGGATCTCCCAGCCCTGCGCCGCTCCCTGATCGCAATCTGGGAGCTTTCTGCTGCTGAGACAGGGGGACATAATCCCCGCCCAGGCTCCTGCGGCAAAGCCTGCTCTAGCAGCAGGCAACTCCTGGGGGCAGAGAGCTATCTCCCACCCCCTGGTGGATGGCTGAGCAGGAGCAGATTTTGCTTCCGGCCAGGTGTCTACACGAGAACTACAGCACCATTATTAATGCTAAGTTAATGCTAAGTAAATTTGCTACTTGCATTTGCAAGGTTTACTGTGAAGTAAGCATGTGCACATGTAGACGCACGTATTTACTTTGCAGTAAACTATACTAATGCAAAGTTAAACATCTTTTGTAGATGCACCCAGTATGACTTAAAAGATCTTCATAGAGGGTATTTAATTTATTATTTCTAATTTTGTGATTCCCATGCATATACCATGTTTTGCTTAAGGGTAACAACATTATTTCAAGTTTGTGTCTCATTTATTGGGCAACAGTATTCCAGATTCTTACTATATAATTGTTGTATAAACAAGCAGTCAACCTTATTTTACTCTTTTCCATGTATTATCCCCTAGTATCTTGACCATTTTCGAAGGTGCTAAGTACTCCAGCTGCTTTGTAAATTATATGAGATCAAATAGTGGAAAGTACCAGATAAGAGCAAGGCAAAAAATACTGGATTCTACAAACTGAGTCCATCTGTTTGCCTAAGTTTTGTGTCTTTGTGGTTATTAAAAATAACCTGGGAAATGTGATCTGGCTGTAAATCAATGCATTGTCTTTAGTCTTTAAGCCTGAAAGGTGAGAGAAATCAATGCATTGTTGTCTTTAGTTTTTAGAAAGCCTGAAAGGTGAGAGAGATTTGAGTTGTTTCATTCATCTTAGTGTGTTTTCAACTTTTGGAGTGTGAAGATGACCATTTTTTTGTTAGATGCAACTCTTTCACACTTTGCAGCTAATAGTATTAGCTGGATATATAACTACTGTACTCGTTTGGCAATCCTAGATTGCCACATCTGTTTCTCTGGATATCAAAAGTCCAAATGGCCTGTACCCACCTTCATGGGATCATTTTTATGATGCAGGACAGAAATCTGACACAGACTGTGACAGAGACTGAAAATGTGGGTATAAACCGCATAATTGTTATCATTTTATTTATTTAAAAAGATTACAATATCTTTTTTTTAGTTCCTGGATCAGTATATTGAGTTATAATATTGTAGAACTGAAAATGAATGGGCTACATATAAGGTGTTATGTGTTTTCAATAGACAGAAATAGTGATGGAAGTGAGCTGATGCTTAGAGAATATGAAGGTTGCCTTTAGCCTTTTAATATAATTTATTTTATTGGTTTTTTTATGGGGTTGTGTGTGTGTATGTTGGGAGGCGTGATATGCTGCTAAGCATCCTCAAGTATTGCGTATTCTCAGATGATGCCAGCTATCTAAAGTATGTAACCTCCGAGTTGCACAAGAACTATATGCAGGTAAGTTTGGTATTATATAAATAGTTTATAATATTCAGCTGTTTGAACTGATCTGAAGCAGCTGTAGTTACAACTGTGTCAATTTAAAATTTAAAGTTAATGTTTTCTTTAACTGTGATTTTGAAAGTTCCTTTTCCCCATAGAAATTATTCTGTTCCTAAGTGTGTTAACTTTTTAAACTTTTTTGTAGGCTGTAAGCTGCTATATAAACAAGATTTTGCAAGACGGTTAGGATTGAGATGTGTTACTTGTAATTACTGCTCACAGCTCTGCAAAAAGGGAGCAACTAAGGAACTTGATGGTGTAGTGAGAGATTTCTGCAGTGAAGAGTGCTGTAAAAAATTTCAGGACTGGTACTACAAGGCAAGTAACTCAGAATTTTTGACAAGAGCACCAAAATTACAAAAGACAAAAATTCACTTGTGAGGATATATTCAAGGATCGTGCAGCAAATATGGCTTACTTCAGCACAGCATTTGCTACGCAATAAGCAAATGTTCGTTTTATCATTTCAGTTTTCTCATAACTTAGAGCAGCATTTCCACCTGTCTGTCTGTTAAATCAGTTGGCAAGGGAAACTTGAGTTGCAAAGTAACAAAGAACTAAAATATATTTGTTACTTTAGCATTGTAAAAAGAACTATTTTTTCTCCCTTGATTTGAGAAAATATTTTTGCTGATTAATTTTTTTTCATCTGTATTCAAAATGTTGAAAAATACTTTAGTGGCAAATAGGTGGGACCTTGGATAGGCCAAAGATTAGGTTAGCAGAGTTTTTCTTCTTCCTGTTTTTTTGCTTCTTTTTGTCTCTTCCTTTTTCCCCACTGTTTGTGAACTTCAGAAGCCTTGATTGTTCAGTATGTCCCAGTAGAAAGAATGCCAAAGAGAAAAAAACGAGACCAAATGGATTTTTTTTTGTAAAAGTTTAAATCAAATATGACGGCAGCTTTCTCTAAATCTCTGGAAGTTTGACTACTTTGTGAAGCACAGCTGGCCAAGATGGTGCATTAAGAATTCTTTTTGGAGAGAAATAAAAGTGAAATTGGACTGGGTTTAAGCTGCAAATTAGGACTGTGGATAAAATGTTGGGTCTCGGTGAACAACCTGGAAAACTACATTGATAATATCAAAACAAGAACTACAAATACAAATGGATACAAATGCAAAACCAGACAGGAATACAAAAATCATCATCTTTCTATAACTCTGTACAGCCTGGAAACAAGGCAGTGAAAAGCATGAAGTATCAGAGGGCTAGATACAGTTCAATAACCCAAGATGATCAACCTACCAAAACAACTTGAATCTGAAGAGATACCTGGTATTTTGGATTGCGATTTCCAGAAGTCTTACAGCCTCATGTTGTAGATAGGCTTTATTAGAATACTGTACGTAGGGGTCCAGTTAAAATTTTAGAAAGAAAACTGCCGCAGACCAGAAACTTCTTTTTCTAAACTGTCTTATCTGAAACAGGATAAAAATGGTCTGCATTTTTTTAAGCCTAAGGAAAGGTTTCATAATATTAATTTGATGAACAAGCCTTAAAACTCAGGGGTCAGAGGTTAAAGTTTATCCCTTATAAAAAGTGCCTGCTGATAGGGAATCTAATGCAGCTGAGCTGTTTTTGACCAATCTCTTGGTTATTAGGAATGCCAGCAAAGAATAGAGCTCTTGGGGCATTCACCGAACTGGCTTAAAATATCCAAACTTCCAAGGATTCTGATACAAATACGGGAAATGCTTGAAAACTTTGACCTCACACACTCTTCTTGGCCATGTCATAAGGACCTAATTTGAATGAACCATTGTGTCTGCTTAAGAGTTGCTGTAGTTAGTGCTAGTGGTTTTTATGGCAAAAGCACTTCAATTTGAGCAGACTTATTGCTAAGTTGTAATTTTGATAAAGTTGATGGTCTGTCTGTCTGTTAGATATTTTTTTCTTCTTTCTTAGATCTTATACTCAGTGAAATTCATGTTAATTTGTTGAATGGTTAAAATATTAAATTTGAATTATTGAATGCTTCTTCCTAATTCATAGCACTCAAGTTTGAGTTTTATTCAGTTGAGAAAGATGTGCATGTCCTTTTACAAGGATTTGGAAAATGTATATTTTGCTGAAAGTCTCTTTCTATTCTTACTGATGGCCTTTTTTAAATAGAGCCACTCTATATTATGATTATCAGACTTTTGCAATCTACCTTTTATTAATGTAACTGTTAGCTAATATTTTTTGCCAGTTGAGGAGCAGGTGGAACATGAGTAAAATGTAAAAAGAATGAATGACCCCCAAACCTATACCTGTTAGGTTTGATTAAAGAATAGCTTTAAGTCTTAATTATGTAGAGCACAGCATTACATTAGAGTTTCAGTAAAGTAAGTAGTAGTAATGTTATAACACCAGCACACTGCATTCATTAAAAAATGTTTGTCTCCATTATCTATGTCTAATTTATTTTAATTGGACAAACTTTTTAAATTAACAGGTAGACTGCTTTAAGGTTTTAGAGAAACAAATGCTAAAGAGATCAGCCCTGGGGCTGAAGACCCTTATGCAGCTAGCTAGCAAAGACAGCAACAGCACTACTTCCCATACTGTTACAATATCATGCATCAGCCCTAATCAGGAGGGTCAAAGGGTAAGAGTAGTTCTGTCCTTTTTCCTTAGCCAGGAGTCCAACAGAGTTATCATTTAGTGCCAAGTATGATGTGGCATGTATTCATTAAGAAGGAGGTGAAGTGAAAGGTTCTGTGTTGTGAGCCTGCTCTCTAAGCTAGCAGCCAGAACAACCTCGCTGAGGTCCAAGGAGGGCCCAGGTGTAGTTGCTACTACTCCCTGCTGTGTGGCACAGGTGAAAACCCAGATCTGGCTTGTATGCCATAGGTTGTGACCCCTGCCCTAAGCCATTACCCCTTCCCCCCCCCTTACCAGCTCATATGTCCACCTTCACAAAAATAATGGTTTAGATAGTAATCTAAAAAATCTAAAGTAGGTGAGAACTTAAAATATAAATGTAATTATTTAATGGAGTGGTTCCTGGCCTGAGTTACAATTTGATTTTTATAGTGCAAGAGCACTGCCGTTCCAAACTTCTGACTTTAGAATAAAAATAGCCTCTGCCACACTTTGACTAAATCTTTGGAACCACTGTCAAAGAAGAAATAGCACTTGTTTTGTGGCTATGCGGAGGCAGTGACTCAGGACAGGTAAATGATTGGGCTAAGCATGTATATCTTCAGTATACATATAACTATATGTATAACTATACCTAAAGATAAACAGAAGATGATGCATATTCAACTAAGACTGAAAAAGTAGGTGAGGAGTCTCAGGGACAAAGGTATATTCTGGAAAATAAAAGCTGTCAAAAACCGCAAGATTTATGAAGGGTCAGAGCAGAGGAAGCCACTATAATGTGAATAAGGGCATGACACAAGGTTCCTGAAGCAGGTTGGAACAAATCTATAGTAAGTTGAAAACTCTGTCCTCAAGTGTTACACTTTATCTGTGTGAAGACACACCCTTGATTTTATACATGCTGGAATCAGATCTGTGTCTGGGGGAGGAACCTATGATACCGATTCAAAAGAAGGCAGGAATGAATGAAGAGATGAAGCCAAACTTGTGGCATAAACAGACAGTGTTGAGAAAATGGTGAAAGAGTTGTAGGAATTCAGTGTCAAATATGATGTGATTTGTGTGGACAAAGACAAATGAAAAGGAGACGGGGAGGATAAGGTGAGAGGTTGGAGTTAAAGTTTGAGACAAGCTCTACAGATTTTTATCTAGTCAAAAAGGTAAGGGGTACAAACAGGGAAGAAGACAGGGTGGAGATGCATTGTATTACCTAACTGAACCAGATATATAAGCCAAGTCTTGTTATGAAGTGGAATAACTATTAAGATGGTATGGTTTGACAGGAAGAGCCAGAACCAAATGTCCCTATATAAAGTAATGATGAGGCAGTCCAGAAGGAGGAATGGGTCATTATAGCAAAGTTTTAACTGAGGAGTAGAGAAATAGGGGGGAAAAAATCACTAAAGAATACTGCTCTGGTATTTTAAAGATCAAGTAGCTAGTACTTGCATTGAGGGTGGTGCTTCTCTGATGCAGCTAAAAGTCCAAAGTATAGATGGATTTTCTCTGTAGCTGGTCAGCTGGGAATCTAATGGTAATATTAGTATCATCAGGCTTCAGAGTCAAACCCTCTTTAAGAAATTGGGGTGGAATACAATTCTCAGAACTCTTGCTTGACTTTCTGTAGGTTCTGAGAGAGAGTGCTTATGTTGAGTCATAGGCAGAAGGGTGTATGCATTTTTAGAAAATAGATACAAAAAGCTGGATACTTAAGTCCATACATGAATAACCTAAGTATCAGAAAAATCTTGGCTGGACACTTTTGGCAAAAGTTAAGTGACCCAGAAACAACACCAAGCCATTACGTGAGCTCAAGCACAGGAGGGGCAAAGTGCTGTGCTTTGTAAAGAAGCTGTATATAATATTGAAAAAGTGAATATGTGTAAATAGTAACGATATATTAAAAGATGGACATACCACTTAAGTTCTTGTCCTTGAACTAATTATTGTGGTGTCCTTTTCTATAGGTTATTTGAAAACTGCCAGTTCTTAGCATGCAAACCTTATGCACCTACAGGGCTACATGTCTTTACAAATGAATGCTCTTCTTTTTCATGTACTGCCTTCAATCAGTAGTTGACAGGCTTTTTAAGCTGTGAGCTAGTGACACAGTTCAGGTCAGAGGTGAATGGGTGGGTGGATGGGTAACAAGACCCAGCTGCTGCTGCCACTTTTCCCTGTGGTGGCACTGGAAGCAACTGCTGCCAAAACCACCTGCTGCTGGAGCACAGGCTGTCTCTGGACCAGATCAAATAGCTCTGCCAGCCAGATCTGGCCCCACCCTTAAATGTTGGGGGGGAGGAGGGGCCTCAGGCCATCTCATTCATCAAATCTATTTGAGATTCTCATGTTACCCATAAACTGTTTTTTCTCCTGTTTTTAAACATTTTTGGCATCAATAGACATCAGCTGTGAAGAGCATGCAGTCATATAACAAGTCCCGGTTTGCAGAGGAAGTGAAACTAGTACCCTCAGTATTTCAGATCATAATTTATACTATGATGTGTGTTTTCTTTAAGGGAACTTTATTTAGTTAAGAAAAAAAAAAGCTTTGACCTTGTTTGCCCAGGTAAAACAATCATGCCCTCTATTGAAAACCACATTAATGTAATTCAGAGCTAAACATGTAGACTTACAAGACTTCACCTACAAGCTTCAAGTGTACCCTAAGCATTGAATTTCTAATCAGAAACACTGAAATGGCTGAAAGAGATTTCTTTTAAATTTATATTAATTTGTTGCTGTTAACTTGGAGTGAGGTAAACTTTGTAAAATTAAGTAAGTATTAATATTTATTCATGTGAAAATTTTTCTACTAGTAGACAAGGTCCCCCTAACCAAAGATCTTGTAATCTAGTTGAAACATGATACATAAGGCAACAGTATTATTGTTATTTTTTGCTTTTTTGACTTTGATAAAACACTTACTATTTCACTGTTAGTTGGAAAGAATCTTTAGAGTGTCTCTCTCTCTCTCTCTCTCTCTCCCTCTCTCACTCTCTCTCTCCCGCTTCTCTTGTTTTGTAGAATGTTTCAGTAGAACTGCTAAAAATGGTTCCATGGAATGTAGGTTTCTTGCTGAATGTGCAGATATGAACTAGTTTTATGGACTTCAATGTGTTTTAGTGAAATAGAACGTACTGTATTTATACAGACAAGCTAGAAGGTAACATACATTTTGTGGCATGGCAAAGTCTGGTAAAACTGAGACTTGCGTCCATTAAAATTACTATAGAATCAATGAGAAAAGACTTCATTCTTTTTAACTAGCTTTTTAATATGTAATTTTAAAAAAAAGTTTTTTCTCTAAGTTACCTTTTTTAAAATGATAAAATCTTCCTTTGCATTAAGGCTGCCAGATGTGACTGTTGTAAGTCGCAAGGAACTCTCAAAGAGAAAGTGCAATGGCGTGGAGAAATGAAACATTTTTGTGATCAGCACTGTTTACTGCGTTTCTACTGTCAACAAAATGAGCCTAATATGACAACTCAAAAAGGACCTGAAAACTTGCATTATGGTATGTAACGCTTTATAAATGCTAAATGACAAAATGTAAAAAAAAATATTTTATAAGGAAGTCTCACAAATTTCACATGTGGATCAAATTTTACTTCAGTTGAAAGATTTGTAGATAGCAGTATGAGCTCAGGTTTGCAAAGTGGAAACTTCTCTAAATGAGCAATTATAAGTTGATTAAATGGTTTTCATTGCATTAAATCCTATTGTGCCAGCCACTCTCAAAACATTTGTCTTATTGTTATAAATGTTGCTTACTGCTTCAGCTGTAGAGAAAATACATAATTAGCTAACTAACTGCAAGTAAAATTAGTATAAACAGACCAATATCAGAATGGCAGGGGGGTTTCAAGTGTGGTTCTACAGGTGTTTATTTTAGATCCAGTGCTGCTTAAATTTTTGTAATAACCAGGATACAGGAATATAGAGCTTCCTGATCAAGTCTGCAAATGATGCAAATCTAAGAGGGGTTGGAAGCACTTTGGCAGATAGAATTCAGAAGGATTTTGATTAAATTAAAGAATGGGCTATAGGCCATAAAATGAAATTCAACAAGGGAAAATGCAAGGCACTTAGTATCATAGCATCTTAGTGCTTAGGGTCGGAAGGGACCTAAACAGATCATCAGGTCTGACCCTCTGCCCCGGGCAGGAACGGGTGCTGTGGTCATACCCCCCCAGCCATATATCTGTCCAGCCTCCTCTTGAAGACCCCCAAGGTAGGAGAGAGTACCACCTCTCTTAGGAGTCCATTCCAGAGCATGGCAGCCCTAACTGTAAAGTAATGTCTACAGATGTCCAGCCTGAACCTTCTCACTAACAATTTGTGGCAATTATAGCTAGTAACCCCGGGTGGTGCCTGGGGGAACAAAGCCTCCTCCAGTTCCCTCTGGTCCCCCCTGGTGAGTTTGTAAAAAAGCCACCAGATCCCCTCTCAGCCGTCCCTTGTGAAGGCTGAATAGGTTCAGGCACTTTAGACTCTCTTTGTAAGGGCTGCCCCTTGACCATGTGAGTGGCCCTGCTCTGGACCCTCTCAATGCTAGCCACATCCCTCTGAAAGTGCGGCGCCCAGAACTGGACACAGTACTCCAACTGCGGCCTGATCAACGCCACATAGAAGGGAAGGATCACCTCCCTGGACCTGTTTGTGATGCATCTGCAGATGCACGACAAACTGTGGTTAGCCTTAACTAACCACTTCCTTGCATTGGCGGCTCATGTTCATCCTGGAGTCAACAATGACTCCAAGATCCCTTTCTGCCACTGTGTTGACAAGAAGGGTGTTCCCCAGCTTACAGGTGTGTTGCTGGTTCCTTCTCCCTAGATGCAGTAGCTTGCACTTCTCTGCATTGAATTCCATCCTAGTCTCATCCACCCATCTCTGTACCCTGTCCCTCCCCTCCAGCGTGCCCACCTCACCCCACAACTAGGTGTCATCATTTGGACAGCGTGCTTTCCACACCCACATCCAGATCGCTGATAAAGATGTTGAACAGTACAGGCCCCAGGTGTATACCTAAGGAAGAAAAGACAAATGCATGAATACAGAATGGGGGATACCCTTACACCCCAATTTCTCTTTGCTTGTAGTTTCTAACATTTTCATTCATTCTCTTGTTCATAGAAACTTGTCTAGTAACATTGTGATAGAGGAGCAATCAGTGCTGCTCCTGTGGTGCTTCCAAATTAAACATTTATCATTGTAAGTTAATTATATGTACTAATTACATACTGAAAACAGTAAATAGGTTAATATTGGATCTCTTTATGTTTTTAGATCAGGGCTGTCAAACTTCCCGAACAAAAATAACAGTAAGTATAGAAAATTATAATTATAATCTGTTTAAATTGTTATTTTGAATGCTAGAAAGGACACTGTAAAAAAAATAAAAATGATTAAAATAGAACATTAATCTGTTATTTTATGCTTTTTGTTTTTATGATCAGTAAAGCTAGATCTGATAAGTTTTATTTTAAAAATATATATCCCTGCTATGTTGTTTTACACCTTTTTGGTAGAACAAACCAAAATGTATCTATGGCAGAAGTCAGGGCAGAGATGCACTGTAGGCCACTTCTAGATGTTATTTCAATTGCAATTGAGTACTTTCTGTGTGATGAAAATGTTGCTCAATAGGCAGGGTTTCAAGTGCAAAGGCCAGGTCATTCAGAGGGGGAAAAGTGGCATTTCCCCTGCTGGCCACCTGGGGGAGCTCGGAGCTCAAACCTGGTCAGTAGCACAACTATAGGTATACCAGGACCATGAGTTGAAATATGTGCATGGAGGGTGTATTTTCTCTCCTGTTGAATACTCAGTGTTAGGCAGCAGAGGTAGGATGGTAGAGGATTCCCCTGTCTCACCTCCACTACCACTGCCCACTTCTGCCACTGGGACTGGGGGCTGAGTAACATGTGGGACATATTATTCCCTCCTCCAGAGCTGGGTGACACCTGCTGAGGGATTTGCTGGGCAGAGTGTGGGGTGGGAGGAATACTTCTCCTGCACAGGGTCCACTGGGGATTCTCTTCCCCTAGTACTGGGCAAAGTGTTGAGTAGGGGGAAAAGTCCTTCTTCAGTGGAGGCAGGGATGCAAGGGAAAGCCCTTTCGTGACGGG